TCAATTCTGCTGTTTAATCTTGAGTCCCGGTGTTAACAAACACGGATTCTGGTCTTTGACAGATCACTCTAGGCTTTTCTGGACCAACCTGGTGCATTTCAGGCAGCAAAGAGGACAATTTCCAATGTCAAGGTCCAGTCAGATCTTTGAAACCTCTTTTGGCCAGTCGGCTTGCCCACACAGACTTCTTGGTGACCACCCATCACCTTCCAGCATCCCCGCCTCACTCAGCCATGGACACGGTGAGGACGTTGACTCCCCACAACAGATGAGCCGCAGGTTCAGAAGTACACACAGGACCAAAGTCGCACAACCCAGGACTTCCGAGAACCCGCATCTTCTTTCTCCTCACTAGTGCTGTTTCTCCCGGGATCACTTACTGGATTCCGGAATTTCAGGATAAAAGAAAACTCTGAAATAGTGACATAGCCCAAACCCTTCTCTCAAAAGACCCTCGGGTGCAAAAATAAACTGTACACAGCCAAGCATCCAGTCACCAGGACAACAGGTGAGGTTTCTGCATGGCCACGATGAGAATTCTCTTGGCAAAATGAAGATGAAAGAAAGCAAACTGTAAAGTCGCAGTTGGGACCGCTCAGAGCTCCAAAGTGCACTCGTGGGCTCAGTGATGTGTCCTGCCAGAGAACCAAACCAGAGGTGGCACTCAGGCAGTTGGAAACTGGCCTGCCGGTATCGTTGGCTTGGCCTGAAATACTGGCTGGACATCTTCCCCAAACATTAGGGGGAATAAATTGAGATATTTGACATAAAAGTCCAAATTTCTGGCTTTAAAAAAAAAAATACAAAGGTCTGGGATGGCTGCATCTGCATCTCACCCCCCCACCCATCCACCAGAGCTGAGCTGAGTAAGGCTGGCTCTTTGGCTTTTGAATTTGTTTGTTTGAGACGAGGTCTTGCTGTGTTGCCCAGCCTGGTCTATACCCCAGGGATTCTCCCGCCAACTCCCTGGGCTGCCCTCTCTGCAGGAAGGCGAGTTGTCATTTTAACACCCCCTCCCCACCACACACACTGCAACCTGCGGCCTCCCCTACCTGAGGCCCTGGGTCAGACACCCTTCCGTTACCTGGTCCCTGATGGTAGTTAGTTTGTCTCAACAAACTCTACTCAACAATCCCCTACAGGGGGCGCCACACAGCTCTTAAACAGTCAACTGTGTTGTCTGACTTGTTTCATTTTTTTAAACAAAACAGCACAGTCACAATCTTACCACAGGGCACACTTGCCTGGTTGAGCCTTTCAAAGTCAGTAATTGTTTAGATATGCTACTAGAAAATTCTGCAGAGGGCAAAGAAGAAGTGGAAAGAAAACGTGTCATGAAGTAAGTGGGCGGGTGGCTTAGCGTTTTCTACACCATGGAGAGACACACTTGTGACATTAACACTGCTTCGGAGTGCTGAAACGCACTGGGTTGTACACCCAGACACATCAACCTTCACTTCTGCCCTGACACCCACACTGCACCGAGGTGGTGGCTTTGAGACACAAGAACAGGATGTCAAAGTTCTCTTATTCCAATGAGAGAAAGCCACGCTCTGGTAGAGATCTTTCAAGAGCAGACCTGAGCTAATAATGCATGTGGCACCCTGTATCAAAGGTGAGACACCTCCAGGCCTTTAATTAGGTGGCCCCACCCCGATGGGAGGTAGCTACTTAGCAACGCATCATTTTGGGGGATGTGTGAGGCCCATCTGATGAACCTGTTGTATCAGTGTGCTTTTATCACGTGTGTCAACCCTGAGTTATGATTTGGAGCCCTGGAGTATAAACTCAGGGCAGTCAGTACTGGGGTTTGAACTCAGGGCCTACACCTTGAGCCACTCCACCAACCCTCTTTTTTGTGAAGGGTTTTTTTCGACATAGAGTCTCACGAACTTATTTCCCCTGGGCTGGCTTTGAACCGTGATCCTCCTGATGTCTGCCTCCCGAGTAGTTAGGAATTCAGGTGTGAGCCACTGATGCCCTGCTCAGATTCGAAATTTGTATGTAATAAGATGTGGGCCTCTGGGATTCAGGTTTACAGACTGTCAAATCAATTGATTTGACCAGTCAATTAGCATTAACCACTCCATAGGCTCGAGTTTCCTCACCTGAAACAAAGGCAAACTAATAAAAGCTGCTCATCTGGCCAGGCAAGGCAGTGCATGCCTGTGATCCCAACCATTCAGGAGGCAGAGATGGGGAGGATCACAGTTCAAGGCCAGGCTGGGCAAAAAGTTAGCAAGAGGCCATCTCAACCAACAAGGCAGCTTGGAGGTACACACTTGTGATCCCAGCTACTTGGGAGGCCATAGGTAGAATGATCACAGCCTGAGGCTGGCCCCGGGCAAAAACTCGAGACCCTATACCTGAAAAATAACTAAAGCAAAAAAGTGGTGTGGCTCAAGTGTTAGAGCGCCTGCCTAGCAAGCACAAGGCCTTGAGCCCAAACCCCACTACTGCCAAGAAAAAAAAAAAAGTGGCCCATGCTTGGAGGGCACCTGACACATTCCACACAGCCCCCCCTTCTCCTCACGGGATGCTGGAAGGTACAGGTGCTCAGAAGTCAAGCAGCCTGACCCCCTCACTAACAGAAAAGGACATGGTTGCCTCTCAGACAACCAGGGGCAGAGCCAAGCAACTCTCGGGACCTGCCTCTGGCACTTCACCCAACACCAACACCAATGTGTTCACAGGAGCCAGCTCCTAAGAGACATGCAGCCAGCAGGCGGGGACATTGACAAGACGGTCCAGGGCTACCTTGCCTGCAGTTGGACACAGTTCTGATCTTCTCCCGGTTGCTTGCTGGGCCTCAGCACATCTGGTTCACCAGTACTAACTGGCTGGACCGCCCCGTCAACCATCAACTAAAGGCAAGGACTGCACACACTGGCTTTATTAACCACATACGTATGTACACACACACGCCCCAAGGTCTATTCCAAGCTCTGCTCCTGGCCTATAGAGGGATGGGAGACCCTTTACCTGTCAACACAAAGTTATGGCTTTGCCCAACGGTGTTCTTTAGAACAGACTTGGAAAGCCACTGACACCCAGAAAATCCAGGTACCCAGATACCCACGAGGACACTTCAAGCATGACCTCACTACTGGATCCTGAAAGTGGAACTCCACACTCCCTTCCCTTTCTCTTGTGATTGTTTAAAAAATAAATCATGGAGCACAGACACCGAATGCTCACTTGTGAACTGTAAAAGGCCGTCTCTTCTACTAGCCATAGAAGCTGTAGAGGACTGTGAAGGGAGGAGAAGATGGCTCCCTAGAAATCCTGGGGGCATCTCCCCCATCCCGACACCTCTCAGACATCCAGATAACCCTCTGTGGCAGCCAGCCATCACCTACTCTTCTCTGGTCACAATGTAGCTCTAAGAAAAGTATGTAAATACTCTAAGCAAACAGTCTGAGACACAACTCTTGAGCTGGGTGAATTAGTACGAGTTCTATGAGGAAGGCTTGAAAGCACCTAACACTAGTTTGAATCATCACTATTAGTGGCAAGACTGGGGTTTGAACTTAGAACCTTGCTCTTGCACCCCCACCCAGCCCTTTCTGCTTTAGTTATTTTTCACATTGGGACTCCAAGTTTTTGCTCTTGTTGGCTTTGAACTGTGATCCTCCCATCTGCCACCCACACAGCTGGTGGGATTCCTAACCCTTATTTGAATATGCTATTTTAACTTGATCTGTGGCACGGCAGAAAACCAAATTAAATCGCTCATTTTACTGACTTGACTCAAGCCTGGATTCTCTGGGGAATTATTTTTAATTTAAAAAATGAGCTCTTGCCCTGTAAAATGAGCAGTGGAGAGGTGAAATGCATGACAAACTAAATGGCCCGAGAGGCAGAACAAGAACTACTACTGAAAAAAAAGCTCAGAAGTATTGATGACATTACTTCCCCTTCTAAGTTCAGAAGAGGAACTGTAAGTGTGACTGTAGATTATAAGGAGGTGTGTAGGCAGGTGAGTCCCTGCCCTGCTTCTGAGGATGCTATAGTGACAAAGGCAGGCAAGGATGTTATAATATGACCAAGCAATGTGTCTAAAACACACGGAGGTGGAGCTCGGTTTCAGATAAAAAATATGTGATAATATGAATTTAAAAAGCAAGTCACAGAAGGCACTTTTATCTATGTGGGGTATAAAAAGCCTTCAGAAGCACTGACATCAACCGTTCTATATTTAGTTGGGAGGGTGTGTGCAGTCACATTTTAAAATGTAGAAAGATACACACCACAGTCTTTCATTATACTCTTGTCTTTGTGTCTTGTATTTTCCGCCAGGGCATTGGTAACTTTTTACACTAAATAAAGAATAAAGCAAAGGGGTTTCAAGAATTGCATTGCCAGCTCCTGCCTACCCTGGTTAAAGTCTTCATGGACTCCACCTGGGACAGAAAAACAGCCACAGCCCGCCAGTCCTTCCTTCCCAGTCCTCGGAGGCCAGGCAAGGGAAAGGCGTGGCCTTGTGGTTTTCTACAGGCAGTGGGCGCCCTGCTTTAAGCTGCACCCCGGGGGCTCCCACGTGTCCCGGGCGCGCGCAGGCGGCAGGCGCGGGGTCCAGGAGGAACCTGGTACCAGTGCTGCTGGGCCCAGCACTGGAAGCCAAGCACTGAGCTCGTCATGTCCTCCGTCCTCAATCCCACAGTCGCCTTCCCAGTCCAGGGTTTATTTGCACGGCCCAGCCCTTCCCTACTGAGTACACCCCAGCACACGTCTGCACTGGGCCGGAGCTATAGTGCGTTCTACCTAGCAAGCCAGTGCCAATGAAACTGGGGCCGGTGCTGGGGCCAATGTCAGCCCGGAGCCACTCCCAAAGTGGACGGACAGGTGGGCATAGGAAGAGTGGACAAAGTGCAAACTTTTTTTTAAAAAAAAAGCAAGCAAGAGAGGTGCCACTGCCTCTTAGGGCCTGCCAGTGGGCGGGAGGACCCCGGAGTACCCGGAGGTCGCCAGGCAGACGTGGCGGGAGTCCCCGGGCTTACCTTACAGGGAAACAGGACAGCCGAGGCCACCTTCTCCATAGCCAGGTTCCTGATGCTGGGCGTCAGGGCGCCCCTGCACGTCGGGCAGCAGCTCAACTTCTGGCGGCATTGGTTACACACCAGGTGCCCGGCTTGGCACTGCAGGATGGGGGGCAGGACATAGTCAAAGCAGACCGGGCACTCGAAGAGCGAGGTCAGCTCGTGGTGCTGCGGGGACACCGGGCCGGCGCCGCCGCCGCCCGGGCCTGAGATCACCGCCGCCGCGGCGGGCACCGCGGACGAGCCGGGGCCGGCAGCCGAGATGGTGGCGGCGGCGGGGGGCGCAGCCGGGGACGGGGCGTGCGGGGTCGGCGGCGGCGGCGGCTTGCTGCACGGCTTGTTAGCGCTGGGGCCGGTGGAGGACGGGCGGCTCATCGCGCTGCGCCGCCACCATGGACCTGCGGGCGCCTAGCCTGCCGCGGGGCCGCCGGGGTCACGGGGTGCGCGCCCCGTGGGGCCACGGCGCCCCGCCCGAGACCCGGCAGGGCGGCGATCGGGGACGATCGGGGACGATCGGCGGGGGCGGGGCAGCGGGCTGGCGGGCTGGAGACCTCCCCGCGTCCCCGCGGCGCCCTCTCCGGGTGGCGGCGCCCTCTCCAGCCCCGAAGCCCCCGCGGTGCGCAGAGCCCGGCCCGCCGGCTCCTGGAGCGCAGCTGACGCAAGCCCCGGGGGCGCGCGCGGACGTGACGCTTGGACACGTGTGCGGCCGCCGGGGCGCGCGGGGACCGCCACAGTCACCGCCACCCGCGCCCGGCGCCGGCCCCGCCCGGCTCCGCGGCTGCGTTCGGCCCGCGGGGAGCCTGGAGCCCGGGAACCCGGGAGCCCGGGAGCCCGGGAGGGAAGGAGACCGGAGCCCCGGAGCCCGGCCCTGTCGCCGCGACCGGGTCTCGGGTGCCCCGGCCACGCCCTGGGCGCCGCGCGGAAGCGAACCCAGACTCCACCCGCACCGCGGCCGGGCCGGGCGGGGGGCGGGCAGCCGAGGCTTCTCTCGGGTTGAGTCACCGGGCGAGCGCGGAGGCACCCGGAGGCTCGGCCGGCACCGCAGGCCCCTCTGTCCCGGTCAGCCTCGGGTGGGGAGGGGACACCCGGGTCCCGGCCCGCGGGGCGGTACGAGGTGAACCACCTTCTCCCTTCGGCCGCGGACCTGACCCAGGCTCCCTTCAACCGCGCGTCACAGGCCCAGCAGGTCGCGCGTGGACACGGTGGCCGGAAGGGCAGTGCCAGGTCACTGAGGATGCCACCTGCAGACAGGAAACCCCTTCCCCCCCCCCCCCAGCAGAAGGGTTGTGGCCTCCGCCGAGAGGCCAGCCCCAGTCCAAGTCCAGGTCAAGGTTTTTGGGCCTGCAGGAGAGGGCAGGCCAGCCTGGCGTGGACCACAGGTTAAAGTGACCAGCACGGCCTGCTCCAAGTCAAGGTGCGTGTCCAAAGTTCACTTGAGCCATTGACACTAGAGTTGGGAGCAGGTACCCAGCTGCCATGGGAGATTTTAGGACAAAGGTAAGGAACAGCTGTGAGCCCTGGGTGAGAAGTGGTGCCCTCCACTTGCCGTCTTTGTGGCTTTGAGCTATCTCTTTATCTTCTTGGGGCCTCAACTTCCTCATCTGTAAAAGTGAATAAAACGATGCCTGATTACAGGCGAGGTAGTAAGGATTGAGTTTGATGTATGTCAGGCTCTTAGAACTTCGCCATTGTAAGTGCGTTTAAACGTTAGCTGTGACTTTAAAAATACATGACAAATAATTAATATTGGTGAATATCAGTGAATAGAATCTGCCCCAGAAACCCACCATTAGAGCCCAAAGGAAGTAAAGTTCAGTTTTATAAGGGATCTAGAAAGACTTCCTAAGTGGAATGGGTGGAATTTGAAGAAAAAAACCAATAGATACAGATTGTAGGCATTCCCTTCCGCTGTTTCCTCTTATTAAGCACCAGCTGCCGTCAGGCTCCAAGAAGGGATCATTGGACTTACAGCTAGGCAAGGCCAGTAACCACGGGACTTCCGGTGCAGGGAAGGGCTGAGGGTGGGATGGTGATGTTGCAGAGCTGAAGTGCAGAGGGACAGGTGACTTCCTGATGGACTGAGACTGGCCCAGGCCATCACAGGCGGCCTGAAATGGCAGACTAGGACATTTATTTCCATGATAGGGGACCCACTATAGATTTTTAGAAAGCTCTGTTAATGTGGCTGAACTTGAACTTTGGGATAGATGATGTGGGGAACATAAAAACTGTGTGGGCACCTTACAGAATGGATAGTATTGTTATGGTCTCCCTTGTACAATTCAGGAAACTGAGACGTGAAGGTTAGTTTGCTCAGGGTTGAAGGGTCGGGAAGGCTGGGACCCAGAACCTTTCCTAACTACTAGCTTGTTCCTCTCTTCTGTGCCTACTCCTACTTTCAGTTTGGCAAAAAGATCAGCACACTCCAACTAGGTGTGGTCTTACATGCCTGTAATCCCAGCACTCAGGCAGGAGGATTGTGAGTTCGAGGCAAGCCTGAACTACACAGCACGACCCTGTCTTAAAAAAAAGAAACCAAGGCCCGGGGTTCAGCTCCATGGTAAAGTGCTTGCCTGGCACGGGCAGGTCCTGGGTTGGGGGTCACACTCAACGGAGTCATAGCCTGTCACAAAGCCGTGTATTGTTTGGAAACTTCACACAAACCCTTCCCTCCCTTGGTCTTGAGAGAAAAAGTAAGTCATACATATACTTTTTACTGCATCTCCGCTTTTCATAGATTAGAGAACATAATAGTAATGACAAAAAGCACCCACACTTTCACCTTGATTGGAGAATATGTAATATTTTCCACACAGTTTCAAACCCAGGCAGTTGGAGTTTCTGATGGGCCCGTGTTTTCTTTCTCTTCACCTCTGGCCTCGAAGTACAGGGACTCCACTCCCAGGGCTTGCTATTGGAGAAGTAGGGTCCTCACCCTCGCCTCGTTACCCTGAGGTCTTGGTGTCCAACCAGCTAGGCCCTGGTCATTCAAAAAGAGATGTGGTTGGGAGGAGGGTGTTGGAACACAGAACAGGAACAGCCATTCTCTGAGGACAGAATTTGCTTTATTTTCCTTTAACTACCACTAAGCAATCACCTCTGACCCTGCAGATGCCTCCCCTGGTAGGAAGGCATTTTCTTCATCTTTCACATGCTCTCCTGAGTAATTAAAAACCACACGCAAAACAAAACACAAGGCCTCTGGGCAGTGGCTGACAGTAGGCAGGACAAAGGACTGCCTGCTGCTGGTGGAGCCACGTCAGTGACCTGTCCAGGCTACCCAGCTGGTTCTTCCAGCCTCCTCTCTTCTTCCTCCTTCCCTGGGTGTTGGGTCAGAGAAAGGTGACCTTTGCACACTGGGCAGTGGGAGCCAGAATTCTATTGAGGGGGCTGTCCACTCAGAGCTCCCACTTAGTGGGCGTTCCAAGTGCACTAAATTGGGTGATTTGAGGTTTGTTTGCCCTTTGGAGTGTGGCTGTTTCTGGGTCTCTGTTTAATGGGTGACTCTGACCTGAGGTTGGGGGTGGGGGCTCACCCTTGTGTAATCTCCTGATCCATGACTCACTTGCCACATCTGCTGGATGAGAGGTTAGCCTCCTTTTCCACCCACGGAGTCTCAGCTTGCATATGTCAGTTCTCAGCCCTGTGCTAACCTTTAAAATTGGGGTGTGCTGAGTAATCCTTATTTCCTTAATGTCTCAGGGTGAGTCTCTTTTAAAAAAAAGAGAAAAACCTGCCAGGTGAGCACCCTGGCTCACCTAAGCTGCTGGGCACAGTAAGGAACACTCCGGCCAGCTGGCCAGACGAGCTTCTGCCCTTCCTGTAACTCAGGCAACGTGACAGCTCCTGCAGCTGGGCGCACGGTGTGCATTTACAGAGCAAAGTGTGGTGGGCCTTTCTCTCTAGCTTTAGAAATGACTCAGGTGCGTATTGAAGCCGGGAACTTCCTGCTCAGGGGGAAAGCTTAGGGAATTTTGGCAGTGACCATGGAGCCTCCTGAGAGTTATGATGCTTTCCAACCTCAGAAAGAACTTCTGCTTCTGGGGTAATTTCCAGTGTTCAAGCTTCTTTTGAATAATTGAGAGTCATTTAATTTAAATAGTTCTTGAACAATCACTGTGGACTTAGTACTTTGGGCCACACAGAGTTAAGTCAGTGTATCTGCATTATTATTATTATTGTTATTTTAACATTTTAGAGAGAGTCTCATTGTGTAGCCCAGGGTGATCCTCCTGCCTCAATCTCCCAAGTGCTGGGATTACAGGAGTGCACCACCATGCCTGGCTCTATTTGCATTATTTTTGTACTCAGCTGAGCCTCTAGGACTTACCTGTGCTGTTTAAACACTTTATGTATTTTAATTCTTTTGATCTTTATCCTGTTGTTTATAAGGTAGATATTTGCAGATGATAAAACCGAGATAGAGAGAGGCCAGGTTACTTATAGTCAGTAGCCTTTAAGATGGCTACTAGTGACTCCTTATCCTGGTGTGTCTTGTGCAGTACCTTCCCTTTACCAAGGACCAGTGATCTCGCTTTAAATGACTAGAATTCGGCCACAGTGATTGGATGTCACTCCTGATTTAAGAAGAACCTGATTTCTCCATTATTAGCTTGAGCTGCTCTAACAAAATACCATAAACAAATGTTCACTTCTGCCTGATAGCGAGGGGGTAGGGGGGAAGAGGGAGAGAGCGAGGGAAATAAGGGAGGGGACGGGGGGGGGGAGGGGGTAGAAATGACCCAAATAGTGTATGAACATATGAATAAAAGAAAAACAAACAAACAAACAAATGTTTGCTCCTCTCACTTGTGGAGGACTGGAAAGGCCAGGGCAGGTGAGGGTGTGGCTCCTAGAGAGCAGTCCTCTCTGTGTGTCACACCGTGGACTGGAAACATGCTCACGGGACATGGAAGCCACTTACAAGGTCTGAGCCACCATGACCTCATCAACCCTATTTATCTCCCGAAGAGCCCACTCCTACCTCTTGATCCCATCACGTTGGGGGACAGAGTTTCAACAGATGAGTTTGGGGGATGCACAAGCAGTAGGGGTATAATATTCTCTTAGTCTCCTTTGTGGATGAAGCCAGCTACCATGTTGAGGAGTAACCCCACGAGGCAAGGAACTGCCAACCACGAGCGAGTTTGGAAGTGGATTCTCTTGCAGTCGAGCCTTGTGGTGATCACAGGTGTGAGTGAGACCCTGAGCCCACGGACTCAGCTGAGCTGATAACACAGACGGTGTGAGGCAGTGCCTGGTTGCTGTTTTAAACTGCTGAGTTTGGGGATAATCTGTTACACAGCAATGTAGAAGTAATACACCTGACCAAGGTCACAAAGCATAAACGCAAAGGACAGGTCCTCTCCTTTTTTCTTCTAAGTGATTTTTTAATTATAATACCATTTATGTACAGAGAAATAAATCTAGGAATACAATGTTTACGATCCTTGTTGGCCATAGCTGTTTTCCCCCCATGGTTGGTGAATTCCAGGAATCCAGAGCTGTGGCTACGGAGGGCCCAGTGTGTTCTGTGAGCGACTGTGCAATGAGTGCTACAGCCCTGACCAGCAAGGCACGACTATCTACCACACCGGTGCCTCGTCAGGAGTTAA